CTAAATGCAGTGCTGGGGACTTAAAATATCACATTAACTCACTTAATCCTTTCCCCAGCTATGACACTCTGCCTCCTATTTCACCTCCTACTATTCAAAACAAAGTATCCAATACCTGAAAGTATTTCTTTTCATTTGCATTGTATTATACCTACAACATGATTTTTTTTTTCAATTTAGAATTTTTTTTTTCACCTTTCACCTCAAGTTCATCATCCTACCAGGCTTTAGCCTCTGACACCTTCCTTGTTTTACTTACTGTGACTTGATTCTATTTTATTTCTTAAAAAAAAACAAAAAAACTCTACAATCTTCTTGAGTGTTTTAATAAACTCAGCAACAGTGAATACCCTAGATACACCTCAGGGCCCATGATCCTATCACTGTCATCCAGCATCACTGCCAGCCGCCTTTCATTAAACATTTATTATGTTCAAGGCATTATACGAAGCCCTTTATATTCACTCTTACTGAACCTTAGAACTACCTACTTTATAAGTGAGGAAATACAGACACAAGGGAAACCCTCTCAGGCTCATGAAGTCATAAATAAAAAAGAGCATATTTGAACAGCACCAAAATATATCTATACTGCAAATCTCCTATTAGTCTGAGAAATGCCATGCCCCCCACTGATGGGCACACCCATGTCTTCAGGCAGCAGGTGATGAAAGAAGTGAGTTAGAAAAAGACTAAAACAAGGTGAATTCTGAAAACTTGATCTCAAGTGACGTTATGAAGAAAGAAGGATACTCAGAACAAGATCACTTAGATCCCTTTGAGTTATCATGCTCTGCCTGCCCACCATCCTCCCTTCCTAGAGATCCCCAGTTTCAGGGTGCACCTAACCTCTTAACATCAGTCCTGCCTCCAAAGGTAAGGAGAAATTGTCTTGATGCAAAAGCACGGTGCACACTGAATTACTCTGCTGGGCCCTACACAAAAATTAATGCAAAGAAGAAACTGTAAAAGAGCATATAGCATTTAGCACTAGATGACACCCTGATGATCTGAAAGACTATATTCTGAAAAGAATCTATGCATTACTCAGGAAGTCTCCTGAGTAGCAATAAATATTCACCTATGAACCTAACTCCATGGGGCATACCCTGAAAGATTAAAAGGGGGAGTATGATTTACAGGAACTCTTCTGAAGCCTGCTGAGATTTAAATATATCCTAAATCCATGACGGCAAGCCAAAAAAACAGCATTCAAATGCAAGACTGATCTCCCAAGACAAAGATTAGGCTGGGGCCCTTAAATGTCTGCGCCAGCACAAGAAAACAGCCTGTCAAAGTACTCACTTCAGGAGTAAAGTGTTATCTGCTCTCTCTGAAGCTGGGAGAATTGAGTAAGACACAACTGATAGAATGTTTCACCTTCTACAGAAGGGAGGAGGGGTTGGGCTTGGAAATTTGTTTAAATCTTTTCCAATCTACAGTTACAGTTCTATAGCCTGAAAAGCAGCCTCATTTCTGAATTCTTTGGCCAGATTCAATTATTAACACTCAGCACAAGAGAAATTTAAAAAATAAAAGTGTCTCATTTGAAAAGTAATTTGATCACATAAAAAAGTGGAAACATGTTCCTAACTCCTCCAGCACTTCCACTGCCAAGCCTTTCTCTTAAAAAAACAAACCCTAGGGGCTTTCCGGGCTTCTCTGGTGGCGCAGTGGTTGAGAGTCCGCCTGCCGATTCAGGGGACGCAGGTTCGTGCCCCGGTCCAGAAGGATCCCACGTGCCGTGGAGCGGCTGGGCCCGTGGGCCGTGGCCACTGGGCCTGCGCGTCCGGGGCCTGTGCTGCGCAGCGGGAGAGGCCGCAGCGGTGAGAAGCCCGCGTACCGCAGGAAAACAAAACAAAACAAACAAACAAAAAAACCACCCTGGGGCTTCCCTGGTGGTGCAGTGGTTGAGAATCTGCCTGCTAATGCAGGGGACATGGGTTCCAGCCCTGGCCTGGGAAGATCCCACATGCTGCAGAGCAACTAGGCCCGTAAGCCACAACTACTGAGCCTGCGCGTCTGGAGCCTGTGCTCCGCAACGAGAGGCCGCGATAGTGAGAGGCCCGCGCACCGCGATGAAGAGGGGCCCCCGCTCGCCGCAACTAGAGAAAGCCCTCACACAGAAACGAAGACCCAACACAGCCAAAAATAAATAAATTAATTAATTAAAGTACCCTTAATTTAAAAAAAAAGTATTAAAAAACAAACCCTGGCTGTTTGATGCGTTCCGTTCCTCTGGGAGCTGCTTAGATCCCTCGCACGAGGACCCTGGGCCTGTCAGCTCCTCCCCTCTACACCCTGGTCCAGGTCTGCTGAGTGAAAAGCCACCAGATTCCTCCAACTAGTTGGGCCTATGGGTCTTCCCTTTCCACTCAGAGATGAGCTACACAGAAGCCAGACAACTTTTTACAAAGGTTCTATCTAAAACTCTAGGCAAAGGCCACAGGTCGCTGAACAGAGAAGTGATATAAGTCTGAGACACTTCATATAACACAAAATCTTTCTTGGACTAAGGTTTCAATAAAAGCATTAAGATTCTTTTCCCATATAGGCTATTACAGAACATTGAGTAGAGTTTCCTGGGCTATACCGTACGTCCCTATTAGTTATCTATTCTATGCATATGTTAATCCCAATCTCCCAATTTATCACTTCCCCCCACGTTTCCCCTTTGGTAACCATAAGTTTGATTTCAAGATCGGTGAGTCTGTTTCTGTTTTGTAAATAAGTTCATTTGTATCATTTTTTAAATTAGATTCCACATATAAGTGATATCCTATGATATTTGTCTTTCTCTGTCTGACTTACTTCACTCAGGATGATATATATCTATATATGTATAACTGAGTCACCTGTTGTACACCTGAAACTAACACAACATTGTAAGTGAACTATACTCCCATAAAAATAAATAAATAAATAAAGTGTTAAGGCCAATTAATCCCACCCCTTTCTCATCTCTGTTATGCTTTGCAACACCTCCAACTCCTTCGTTCGCCTCTCCTGTCCTGTACTCACAGTGCTACATGGCTCTGGTATTTCTTTCAGAGGTGCTTCTGTTCCCATACCCCCCCAAGGCCCCCCACCAGCCAAACTACCTGTCACACTCCAAGGAATTACCTTGAATTGTAAAGAAGCCACCCCACACGCTTACTTCTTCCCTCAGTGTTCTCTCAACCTCCTCTGTTCTCTCAACAGCTTCCGCTTCTCTGCCGTGGATGCCACACTTGAGTGGGTGACACTCACTCTCTCACTCCCTGGCAAGCTGGGAAAATGGAGTCAATATTTTTCTAAATTCCTTCCCACCACTAGGCCATTACTCTCCTACCCTTGTTTCAAAAGCTAATCTCTACCCTCACGCCTCTCCTTTTATGGCCCACTTGACTAGCACCCCATCATTCTGAGTAAATAACCTTTCTCCTAAATGACAGAAAAAAAAAAAATCAAGGTCATTGGGCAAGAACCTCCTTGGATTCCAGTCCTCAAGGTACTAATAGTACTGCATTTGTACCCTCCTGGCACCTGTGTCCACGAGGAAGATGAGCTTCCTCCTATCAAACTATTAGAAGTTAATCTCTCTAGGTGTGTAGTGTCCTCCTCTCCCTCCACCCTCTCCAGGGACTACACTTAATCACCCACTTTTCTGGATCTTTCACAATCTATGTGTGTGTGCATGTGTGTGTGTGTGTGTGTGTTTGTGTAATGATTCAACTCCCAAGCATGACTGTATTTGGTTAGTTAAGGAAAAAGCCCAATTAACTGATCCATGTTACAATAAATCTTTTATTCAATGCCTAGCTCACATCTCTTAATATATATATATCTGCCTCCTTGTCCCATTTCCACAGTGCCCTTCAGTTGTCTAGGTAACGTGTTCTTTCTGCCTCTTTTCATGATCAGGTTCCTCAAAACACTAGTCTGCTCTTACTTTGTCCAATATCTGACCTGTTCAATTCTCAACTCACTACTCTCTGATTTCCACTCTAATGAAACTGTTCTAAGCTTACCAAGGGCAACCATGTGATCAAGCCCCATGAAAACTCTTCCATTTTATCTACCTTGACCTCTCCGTAGCATGTAACAATAGTCTGCAATGATCCTTTTGTTAAAATGCTCTCTTCCCTTGGTTTCCATATCAACCCCTAGTTCATCAATTTCCTTCTACCTTTTGTTCATTCCACTTCATTATTTTCTTCCTCAATTCATGCCCTTAATATTGCTGCTTTGCAGGACTCCAGTTTTGGCCCTGTTCTTTTATCACTTGAGCCTCCCCTGGATGACTATTCAAATCCAGAAGTTTCACCTACACTTGATCTTGTTCCCAATTATCCACATCAGGATAGACCTCAACACTAGTCCCCAGAGTCATGTATTTAATTAACTCCATTTCACTTTATTGTCCTATGGATACCTGAACCCTCAACATGTCCCAAACAGAACTCATCATTTTCCTCTTCAACCTGTTCATGCTCTTATAATCTTATGCCAAAGAATTAATGGTCCCAGTATCCATCCAGTTGCCCCATTCAGACACACAGGTTGTCCTCCTGCTCCTTCTCACTCCCAGCATGTTATCAGTCACCAATTCCTACAGCTGCTCTAACTCTTAAGTCCAGTCCCTCCCTAATTTGTCCTCGAGTACTTCTTGCTTGAGTTGTTAAATTTTTAATTAACCTTCCATTCTCTAAGTAAATACTCCCATAATCTATTTTGCAGACAACTGCAAGAATACAAAATTGTATATATATAAAAGAAGTTATATATATGGTACAATTTTAAGTATGTGAAATTCTCACAGTAATTGTTTTGTATGGTGGGTTTTATTCATAATATTCCTTGCATTTTCCAAATGTTCCACCATAATCATGCCTGGTTGTTTTTGTTTTTTGTTTTAAAACACCTTTATTTGAGTATAATTGCTTTACAATGTTTTTTTTTAATAGAAGTGAAAAGAAAGCTATTTTATAATGCGAAAACAAAGAGAAATGATATCATACCATGCATCAGTGGCATGTCTAGAAGACAACATTCCTATGTATGCCGAGGCCTTGGAAACAGCTAGAGCCCTGGGGAGTTGGTATAGAGGCAAGTCTTCTTGCTCCCTTGTTTGAGCCACAGCAGGAAGTTCAACAAGCAAGCCAGGACCCTGAACATCATTTGGAATCATCATGCCTAAAGAGTAAACCCAGATGATAGTGAGCACACGATATACTCATTCACTCTTCATTATACTTATTCATTCTTCATTAATTCAATAAATAGTTATGGATATCTACTACAGGCAGGCCCCTTCCAGAGAGAAGACTTATTTATACTAAACTAAATAAGTAAAACATTTAATATGTCAGATGGTGACAGTACTATGGTAAAAAAAATTCTGCAAGGAAGGGGGATAGGGGTTGCTCAGTGAAAGAGGGTTACAATTTTAAGCATGGTCTCACTGAAAAGATGTTATTTTAGCAATATGAATCTTTTATCAAAAGAATCCCCCTTATTGGGCTTCCCTGGTGGCGCAGTGGTTGAGAGTCCGCCTGCCGATGCAGGGGACACGGGTTCATGCCCCGGTCCAGGAAGATCCCACGTGCCACGGAGCGGCTGGGCCGGTGAGCCATGGCCACTGAGTCTGTGCGTACGGAGCCTGTGCTCCGCAACGGGAGAGGCCACAACAGTGAAAGGCCCGCGTACCGCAAAACAAAAAAAAACAAAAAAAAAGAATCCCCCTTATAAGTCAGAAAGAGAAAGACAAATACTATATGATATCACTTATATGTGGAATCTAAAAAATACAACAAACTGGTGAATAAAACAAAAAAGAAACAGACTTACAGATACAGAAAACAATCTAGTGGTTACCAGTGGGAAGAGGGAAGTGGGGAAGGGTAATATACGGGTAGGGAGAAAAAAAAGTTATGATGGGATTATATGAAATCATGTATGTGAAACGTCTGAAAACCATAAAGCACTGCAGAATTTAAAGAATCTTTCATCCAATTAAAAAAAAAAAGAAGAATCCCCTCTACGATGGTATTCTTACTTTACTACAAATTTTCCCTTTATCAACCTAGGCTGTCTCAATTACAGGTGTACTGACATTTCACTGATTAAAAAAAAATAATTCCACAGAATAACAAATAACCAAATAAAAACACTTACATTTTTAAAGGGGCTTTGTTTGTAAATTCCAGGATTCTTTTACATTTGTTACCTTATTTAATTCTCACATTAAACAATGAGTTAGAAAAGATAACAGCAACCATATTTTATAGGTGGGGAATTCCAGGTCAAGGAATTTTTGCTAATTAGAATGAACAAATTGGGACTTCCCTGGAGGTCCAATGGTTAAGACTCTGTGCTTCCACTGCAGGGGGCATGGGTCTGATCCCTGGTCAGGGAACTAAGATCCCGCATGCCACGTGGCACGGCCAAAACAAAAAAGAATGTACAAACTTACCTGACACGTCATCTGTGTCATTTTCCCATTTACTGAAAAAAGGAGTAACAAGAGCAGAGCTGTGCATGCAGTCCTACAGCACATGTTTAGAGACCTGCACCCAGACTGGCATAAACCCATTAATTACTCTTAAGATATACCTCAGTATCCATTATATCTCATCCATTATAAATTCCCAGCCAATCTTTCTTCATCATGTTATACAAATATGATGAATAGTGAATCAAATGCCTCCCTTAAATCCATACACTTATGGTATATTTTTGAGACTTGGCTTATCAGAATATTAGAAATGATCACTAAGAGATATAGACACTCTTCTAAAACTTTTCCTATAAGCATCACCTAAACTTTCCATTTCTTCATATTGAACAAATTTTCTAGTAAACTCACTTCTACTTCTGCTTTTTGTCTTGTCTAGACACACTGGAATCAGGATCTAATCAGCAGAGAATCTGAAGAGGGGGTGAAAGTAACTGTAATGCTCAGGTGGTATTAAAGGAAGTCTCCGGTACCTCAGACATGCTTCACTCCCAGCCCCTGGGCCTACATTCCTGCACGGTCAAATCCATACCAGTGCCGCACTGCTCTAGCTTTGCCTGTGTCTACCTTCTCCCCCTTGAGAAGGGGCCAGGGATGGGATGGAAATTCTGGCACAAATGGCCTAAAACAGGAGTTGAAAGAACAGAGAACCGGCTCTATTTGCAGAGCTATTTCCCATCCAGCGATACTGCTAAAGCAGCCTATTAAATTGCGGCACTGGGTTTCATAGGTTGCTTCAGTTTCTTTAAAACTTTTCATTACCTGCTCCACACAAGGCTGCCCATACCCTTTGCCCACTCCTCCTCCACGGACACCTTGGCAGTGCTCAGATACACATCTCTCCTCTCTCACCGTGCTTGGCACAGGTAGACTTACAGAGCTGTTCATCAAGTACACCACGGTACCCGGGAGCCCATAAAATAAATCGCATCCTTCGGGGCCTATGCAGTTGTTAGGTAATAGCCACAACAGAAGCACACAGGTTAGGAAAACAGAGAAGTTTACTTATTTACTTTTTTAAATATTTATTTATTTCTTTGACTGCATCGGGTCTTAGCTGAGGGATCTTCATTGTGGTATGCGCAATCTTTCATTGCGGCACACGGGTTGCTTTCTAGTTGTGGTGCGCGGGCTCTAGAGCATGCAGGCTTAGTTGCCTCGCGGCATATGAGATCTTAGTTCCCCAACCAGGGATCGAACCTGCATCCTCTGCTTTGGAAAGCGGATCCTTAACCACTGGACCACGAAAGAAGTCCCCAGGGAAGTTTAAAAAAAAGGTTCCTAGACAAATGGAAGTTAAAGCTTATAGGAGAGAAATGGGGGAAATTTCCAAAAGGTTTATACTTAGTGAGGTGCACGAATAGAAAGTTAAACAAAATAAAGGCAAGAAGAATGCAAGTAGAGAAGAGAGGGCGTTACTGCACAACTTAGCAACTGGAAAAAAAAAAGTAGGGAATCGGTATGCTGTTAAATCACCACACAGGAGCAGTACATCACCTTCTCATTCAAGAAATATTTCTTGAGCACCCACTATGGTAACATAATCAGGTATAAGCCTTGCCCTCCAGAAGCTTATGGTAATAGACAGGCATGCAAATACGCGAGTGTGCCTGACTCTGTGTGCAATGACAGAAATTCATCCAGGTTCACTGGAGGCCCATTCCAGGCTGAGCCAGTCAAAGACTGGGAAACAGAACTACTTTCTGTTTGAAATCTTCTGAAATCTTTTAACACTAAATGTATTACTGATTTGACATTTATCTTGTATGCTTTACATTATTAATTATGCTAATTTCTAGGTTTAGTTTCACAGCCCGTGAAGAGCATGGGCTCTTTGAGGAAACCTACTTTTAGATTAAGTACAGGGTCAAAAACAGCCCTTTACACATAGGTTCTCAAAAATAATTTTTAATGTAATTGCTCATAAGTAAATCTAAAATTGTCTGTTACTAACAGAGTGGTCAAAGGGCTACAGATTTGAAAGAGGCCTCACAGAACACTTAGCCCAATTCCATCATTTTACAGCTGAAGAGGTGGAGGGGCTTGGAGAAGCGGGCGGCTTGCCTGGTGACACAGCAAGTTAATGGCTTAGTACTGAGGGGCCTGGGACTGAAATTATACTGGCTCTGTACCAATAATTTCTTAGTCCACCCATGGTTAGCACTAACCCAAGTACTCACACCTGCCACACAGCATTCTGGCAGCTCTCAAAAATTTTTCCAAAAAGCATGTGGTTATGAACACTCTTCTAGTGAGGACAGGCCTAAGGTATACAAGCATAGCTTAATTCCTAAAGCCATAATCTCCAAAAATAAATTCCCAGGGCCTTGTCAAATACTGGATTAAGGCAGTGTGGTGGGTTGAATGATGGCCCACGTAAAATATGTATACCCCTGCCACAGAACCTATAAATGAGAACTTATATGGAAAAAAGGGCTTTGCAGATGTAATTAAATTAAGTATCTTGAAATGAGACCATCCTGGATTGTCCAAGTGGGCCCTAAATCCAACAGCAGGTGTCCTTATAAGAGAGAGAAGAAGAGAAGACATGGATAGGGAGAAGGGGAGAGGGTCACGTGAGGACGGAGCCAGAGATTAGAATGATGCAGCCGCAAGCCAAAGGACGCTGGAGCCACCTGAAGCTGGACAAGGAAAAGAACAGATTCTTCCCTAGAGCTCTCAGAAGGAGCACAGAATCTTAATTTCGGACTTCTGGACTCCAGAACAGTGAGAGAATTAAGTTCTGCTGTTTTAAGCCACCAAGTTTGTGGCTCTTTGTGACAACAGCCCTAGGAAACTCAGACAGGCAGCAGGAGGCAGAGGAAATAACTTTGGAGTCACTTAGATGATACCCAGAGCAGGGCTCAGAGGAAGACTGGATCATCCCATGAGGACAAAATCCCTTTGCCTATCTTTTTCCCAACTCCACTGCCCTTCCTCACAAACACCCACCCCATATTTCTAGTCTATTCCTTTCAATCCTGACAGTATAAAACAGTGAATGGTTCTCAACCAGGGCAATTTTGTCTCCCAAGGGACATTTGCCAATGTCTGAAGACATTTTGATTTTGATCATGACTGGGAATACCACTGAATCTAGGGTTAGAAGGCAGGGAGGCTGCGAACATCTTACAATGCACAGGTAAGCCCTCTACAACAGAATTATCGGGTCCAAAATAGTGCTTATATGGCTATAAAGTATCAACTGTAATCAAACAGATATGGACCATTAATTCATTTATGAATTCATTTGTGCCATAAATCTTCTCTAAGTATTTAATAGTCAGAGGATACAGAAATGTGGTGAATTAAAAAAAAAAATAGTATACCAGGAGAGTTTTGGTGAAAAATCCCATTTTTCTCCTAGTCACAATCAGTTATACATTATGAAAAATTGAATAGACTCATTTAATCTTAGATATTCAAAATTGACTATCCTAATTTTCTTTTTAAATTAACTATTCATGATGTGTTCTGACCTGCAGGGAACTGGCAATTGTTATCATCTCATAGAAGCCTTCAATTTTTAACCACATTAAGAATTCCATTCTTTAGATTTTTACTTGACAGAATGTTGAATCCATAAAAAACAGTTACATAACTTTTCTATAGCTATCTCTCTCTCCTAACAGCATATTACCAAACAACACAAGAACTGCCCACAGAGAAAGACTTTTCCTATAAGTAGAGTCAGAACAGGTACAGGACAGCATAAATCCTGAACAATGGCTCTATAAATCCCAATGCTATGAAAGAACTTACCAGGTTCACCTAAGGATCTTAATATTACGACATTAAATATTGCAGTGTTAGATGAGGAAAGATTATTTTTTAAAGTCAAGTTTTCAAAAATATATAAGAATCAATATGGGAAGAGGCAAGGAGAAGCACTATACTTTTAGGATTCTTTAATGGAAACTAAGTTATTAATGTACCAAAATTGACTGTAATATATGGCTATAAAAATGTTTCATAAATGTTTAAAATATGTCTCTCTTTATTAATATTTAACAACCCCATTCAATGAGCTAACAGTATCACTTAATAGCATCAGAGATTTTAATATATATTAGTAGAGACTTATTTCAGATTCAGCATAAGGCAGTAGTTTTAGTTTTAATCCACAAAGCTAATAAAAAGCAAAATGAGGCAGGGAAAATTCAGCTCTCTCAGAAAACAGAATCTGAAAGCTCTAAACTGAAATATGATTCACGTTATTTTTCCAGATACTCTGAAGCAGATTAATTAATAAGCAGATTTCAATTCAAAACATTATAATGAATGAAAATGTGACAGTAAAATTCATCATATATACAAATAAAACTGAAAGATTGCAAAATAATATAATTTGTGTTTATGAGAAACGAAAATCACAAACCTAAATCCAGACTACTTTTCGTTAACGAATTAAGATTTTCCAGATCATCAAATCTGCTTTGTTGACTGTTTCCTTCAGTTGAGGGTATGGAGGATAGGGAATCGATGCCAAAGTTTTCTTTCATCTCAAGAGGAAGAAAACAGAAATGCATTAGTACTTTATGATAAAATGTGGAACACCATAATGTTGTTCAATCCAGATCATAATGATAGCGGAAAACTGGCCCTGCAAACAAGCCTTCTCAAGTAACAGTTTATACTGTGGTAAGCAGTAACAAATGTTAGTAACTTAATATCTGTAAGAGCACAGGCTAGTAAAATCTGTTTTTTCCAAACACTGGATTTTTTACCAAAAAAAAATTGTTTTATAAACATTAATAAGTAGATTTAAATAAACATTCACCAAGGCAGAGGAATAAAAGATCTATCGAGCTAAGCAAGGTCAATGGTTGATACTCATTATGTCCTGGATCATGCTGGATCACAACTTAAATAGCTTCATTGCTGATCTGGAAACACCTAGTGAATTTTCATAGCTCTAATCCTTTGCTACGCTCTCCCTGACACTCTTATCTGCCTAGTGAACAACCTGTTCCCCAAACCTAAAACCTACAGGTAAGCACAGTCAAAAGTTATTACACTTTCCTTGTCTTCCTTTTACACACGTCTTTTATGGTTTTCCAAAGTTACAATCTTCCAGAACATACAATTTTCATTGATGTATTTTATTACGATATTTTTTAAAATTTATATGCATGAAATTAAATGACAACATTATGGTCACCGTAGGCATTTACCTTAACTCATTTATGGTGAATAACACTATGTTATTCTCTATTGTTGGAAATTTAGGTTGTTCGAAACAAAAAAATGAATTATATTTTTTACAACAGTCCATGTTTTTTCATGGTTATACTGGTCATACTTCAATGATAAGAAAAGGACCTCTCATAAACTGATGTACCAAACACTGCTAGATTTTATCAAATAGATTATGAATATAACTGAGTATATAACTGTATCAGATACTCAAAGGAGGGTACAGTACAAAGAATTCAACTCAAATATTAAAAAAGAGGTGAGAAAGGAAATATGACTACTTAGTTGCCTAGAATAAAATAAGAAGAACTTATTAGAGAAGGGAGTCAGGAGGAGATGGCAGCCACTGACTACTTAAAAAGAAGAAATTTTACAACAATTTTTGAACTGTCTGGATTTTTCTTTTTTTAAGTGAATGGCAATTATGTAACTGAGGAATAAGAATTGATGCCTAAATCTGAGATTTCAATACAGTGGGTATGAAAGGTTAAATCTTTAGAAAAATCAATTCAGTTTTTTTCTAAATAGAGAAGAAAATAAAAACATAAAATTATTCTCAGGTAACTAATCCTCAGGCAAAAAGAATCAGATATTTTAAAAAAGGGCAAAGGACTTAGACACTTCTCCGAAGGATATTTGAAGATCGCCAATAAGCATATGAAAAGCTGCTCAAGGTCACTAATAGAGAAATACAAATCAAAACCACAGTGAGCTACCACTTCACACCTATTTAAAAAACAGAAAACAAGTGTTGGTGAGCATGTGGAGAAATTAGAAAACTTGTACATTGCTGGCAGAAACGAAAATGGTACAGCTTCTATGGAAAACAGTACAATGATTCCTAAAAAAAATTAAACAGAATTATCATATGATCTTGCAATTTCACTTCTGGGTGTAGAGCACCCAAAATCTGGTTTTTGAACAAATATTTGTATACCAGTGTCCACAGCAGCATTGTTCACAATAGCCAAAGATAGAAACAGCCCAGATGTCCATCAGCTGATGAATGAGCAAACAAAAGGTGGTATATATACCTTCAGTGGAATGTTATTCAGCCTCAAAAAATGAGAAAACGCTGACACGATACATGTATGAACCTTGAAGACATCATACTAAGTGAAATAAGCCAGACACAAAAGGATAAATATTGCATGATTCCACTTACATGAGGTGCTTTGAGTAGTCAAATTTTGAGAGACAGAAAGTAGAACTGTGGTTGGTTACCAGAGGAGGAGGGAAGGTGAGAATGAGAAGTTATTGCTTAGTGTGTACAGAGTTTCAATTTGGGAAGATGAAAAAGTTCTGGAGATGGATGGTGGTAATGGTTGTACAATAATGTGAGTGTATTAATGCCATAGGAACTATAAGCCTAAAAATGCTTAAAAGGTCAACTTTATGTAATGTGTATTTTATCACAATTAAAAATAAAGAACCAGATCTATAAATCTTGATGGCTTCACCCTTCAACTAAAATGGAGTAACAGGATGGCAGAGAATGATAAACTTATAAGTAATTGGGTACTATTTGCACTCCACAAATATAGCTATATCTGTAACCCCAAATGGATATTACAATGAAGACAGAAGTGATAATGTTCCTCTACCTTTTTGGAGGGCACACTCTAAATAGAAGAGCATTGGGAATTACATATTTGTAAGGTATTTCACTGTGTTTTTAAAATCCACCCACTCAGGGCTTATTATATTAGATAATAAAGTAGCGTCACTGGATCCACCATAGTGAGAGAAAGGCAAATAAAGATCCAAGCCCATCCTGATCATGTGGGTACAACTGTTACAGGGGATCAGAATATTCTACCCAGAAATATGCCACTTTGGCATAAGGATTATTTTGAACTGAAGAAAAAGAGTGAACTCAGAAAAGCTTCCTATCCTCCCCTGATTCTCAATCACCAGAGACAACTCTAGACTCTTCAGCTCAGAGATGGCACTAAGAGAGATGTATGTGACAAACCTTACTAAAACAATCCTTATCTTCTATTAATTTCCCCCCCATATATTTCCCTTCCCACAGTATGCTGACCCTAAAAGCCTAAATCCCTTTTCCTTTGTCTTGTTACTTCTCTACAAATTCACTGTTCTTTGTTAAGATGCTGCATAAGCCCAAGTTCTAACCCCTCCTTTGAGTGAATCATCACTGAGTTTCTCCTGTGTATATGCATGATGCAGGTGTTAATAAATGGTTCTTCTTAATCTGCCTTTTGTCAGTTTAATTTCCAGGGCCCCAGCCAGAGGAACCTAGGAGGGTAGAGGAAAAAGGGTTTTTCCTCCCATACACTGTCATCACTGCTGGGTGTGGGGAAGGGAGGAAAAGAGCTAATGCCCATATATCTGGGCAAAACTCTAATTCAAAAAGATGCATGAAGCCCTATGTCCACAGCAGCACTATTCACAGTAGCCAAGACATGGAAACAACCTAAATGTCTATCAACAGATGAATGGATAGAGAAGATGTGGCACATATATACAATGGAATGTTAGTCAGCCATAAAAAAGAATGAAATAATGCCATCTGCAGCAACGTGGATGGACCTAGATTATCATACTAAGTGAACTAAGTCAGAAAGAGAAAAATACCATATGATATCACTTATATGTGGAATCTAAAATATGACACAAATGAACCTATCTATGAAACAGAAACACGGACATAGAGAACAGACTCATGGTTGCCAAAGGGGAGGGGTTTGGGGGAGAGATGGAGTAGAAGGCGGGGGTTAGCAGACGTAAGCTTTTATATATAGAATGGATAAACAACAAGGTCCCACTGCATAGCACAGAGAACTAGAGTCAATATCTTATGATGATATTTTATATTCTTTTCCATAATGGAAAAGAATATTAAAAAATGTGTATATGGGCTTCCCTGGTGGTGCAGTGGTTGAGAGTCTGCCTGCCAATGCAGGGGACACGGGTTCTTTCCCCGGTCAGGGAAGATCCCACATGCCGCAGAGCGGCTGGGCCCGTGAGCCTTGGCCGCTGAGCCTGCACGTCCGGAGCCTGTGCTCCACAATGGGAGAGGCCACAACAGTGAGAGGCCCACGTACCGAAAAAAAAAAAAAAAAAAATGTGTGTGTGTATATATATATATGTATGTATAGCTGAATCACTTTGCTATACAGCAGTAATTAACACATTGTAAATCAACTATACTTCAGTAAAAATTAAAAAAAGAGTTAATGCTCAAAGCAAGAACATATAATTATTTAAAGAAAATAAAACACTGTTTAGGTAAGACACATTAGGGCTGAAACAATCTTAATCAATGCCACTTTAGGGAGACTATACATGTTACCTCACAGAATAAGAAAGCTGGAAAATTTAACAGTTAGTAATTAAGATGCATGTCCTTCAAACTGTGAGCACTGAATGCTGTTTAAACAAGCTTTATAAAAAGCACTTTGATATACAATAGAGGCAGTGGTTACACTGTGAAAATCATCAATATAAACTTAGAAGCGGGATTTTTAAAAAACCTAATATTATGCAAATAATGCTTGAGATCAGAATTAAATTTTTTATTTTTTTTTGTGGTACGTGGGCCTCTCACTGTTGTGGCCTCTCCCGTTGCGGAGCTCAGGCTCTGGACGCGCAGGCTCAGCGGCCATGGCTCACGGGCTCAGCCGCTCCGCGGCATGTGGGATCTTCCCAGACCGGGGCACGAATCTGTGTCCCCTGCATCGGCAGGCGGACTCTCAACCACTGCGCCACCAGGGAAGCCCCAGAATAAAATTTTGACTGACAACATGGATTCAAAAATTACTGTATCTGAAACAACCTAGATGAAAATGAAGATGGTATAGTTGAAGAACAGTGTTCAAAGATCAAAAAGTGATTCTAGTAATAATATAGATTCTGGCATTAATATGCATTGAAAGAATTTGAATAAAATTCTATCATTAAATGTGAGAACAGGCAAAAAAACTGATATTTTATAGGTTTTAAAATAGGAATGCTTAACCCAATTTATAAAGTAAATATTATTAATATACATTTGACTATTTCATCTATATCCCTACAAGTTTGTATACTAAAATGGGCCTGGGCTACCCTGGTGGCGCAGTGGTTCAGAGTCTGCCTGCCGATGCAGGGGACCCGGGTTCTTGCCCCAGTCCGGGAAGATCCCACATGCCACGGAGCGGCTGGGCCTGTGAGCCATGGCCGCTGAGCCTGCGTGTCCGGAGCCTGTGCTTCGCAAAGGGAGAGGCCACAACAGTGAGAGGCCCGCGTACTGCAAAAAAAAAAAAAAAAAAAAAAAGATTTTAAAAAAGCCGGGCTCATACATCC